CGGAATTCAAACTTGAAATTAGTTTGTTGAATTCAAAATGAATTGGCATAATATAATTTGTTATTCATGGAAAACGTAATGTTATGTCGTGTTTAGTTTGTTTGTAAGTATGACATTTGCAAGTGTTTATTTATTTTATGTATTTACTCTTAGTAGTTTTTTTAATACTTTAATGCGTTCCTCTCTCGTGTATTGCTTTTAAGAGTTGTTATGTGGTCTAGTAGACCAAAGTGTGACTTAAGGATGGGGCTATCAAAAAGTTTTTAGTTTTAAACAAAAAATAATGTCATTGAGAGCGACCCATATCGTAACATTTTCCCTATGTCGTAAATTAGTAAAACATCTTTTCAACAATTTAAAAAATATTATTACGAAACAAAGACTTTAATAATATTAATATAACACGTTATCGTTAGTACGTTGTAAGCCACTAATTTGTTCCACGAATTTCGTAAGACAAGAAACTTGTCGTATTTTGTAAACATCCCCAAATTTATAATTAGGTAACAAATTCTAGCGTCTAGTTCGCTTTAGAATTTAGGTACTTTAAAAAAGTATTTTGTTATTACATGAAACTTACTTTAATTAAACCTTTGTGTGTCAACACGACTTTTCCTGAATATGAATTGAGTTAAATATGTATTTGTCTTTAAAACAAAACTTCTATGTACTTTATAACAATAGATAAACCCTGCGTACCTACACCATTTTCATACATCGTCATATATTTTTTTACAAACACTTTAAATACTCTATTGAGCATACACTGTATGTTGGTAGCAAATCTATGTTTAGGTTTGGTACTTTTCGCCTTAAACTAGTAGGTAAAATAGCCTTGGGTAGTCAAAAGACGTCTTTCTAACTAGACGTCTTTTTGTACAATTATATTAGTAGACAGTATAAGAAAAATTATAGGTTTGCCATCAGACTAGTCGCAGTTTTGGATACCCGAAATAAAATTACAAAGTAAAATACTGAATACTTACAAAATTTTAAAACATGCTGGAACATTTTAATCAGGCGCCTACAATGCCTACATGGTAAATCAATAACATCCCTTTGAATAAACATTCTTTACAAAATTGGTTTAAATTTAATTAAAATTTTCTCTCGTGTTGTTCATAGCAAACCGAACACGATTTCCCAAAAGGTGAAAACATCAACATTTATAGGAATGTTCTGCTTACATTTGTATCTTTATGAACAAATTGCTATAACGTGGCTTTGACTGCTGGCTACCTGGAATAGAAATAGGTACATCAAATATCATTTCATTCATCATCATTGATCAACAGCCTATAAATGCCCACTGCTGAGCAAAGCCTCTTCTCACACGGAGAAGGTTTGAGCATTAATCACCACACTTGCTCAATGCGGGTTCGCGATTACAAACTTATAATTAGAAATTATAAGCCCAGGTTTCCTCACGATGTTTTTCTTCACCGTTTGTCAGTGGTGTCTGAATAATCTTAGAAAGTACATATAACTCGGAAAAAGTCACATTGGTACTTGCCGTTAATAGGTTTCGAACCCGCACCCTCATGCATGAGAAGCGTCTTAAACCTCCGGGCCTCCACGACATTGACCACGACATCAAACATCAATAACCAGGAACTAAGTAGAATTGTATAAAATACAATATCGGATAGTATTACAAGTTGTCGGTGGTATTGTGGTAGTTTTTCTACGGTAAGAGTACCCTTTGTCATTTTGTAGCTTTCTAATATTCGACTGCACGGTTGGTGCGGTGGCTGGGCAACCGGCTGCCGTGCGACGTGTCGCGGGTTCGATTCCCGCACGGAACAACACTTTGTGTGATCCACAAATTGTTGTTTCGGGTCTGGGTGTCATTGTGTATGTGAACTTGTATGTTTGTAAACGCACCTATGACACAGGAGAATAACCTAATGTGGGGTAACGTTTAAAAAAAATAGTCTGAGGTTCTGAACATAATGAAAATCATGTCAGTTCATCACTCAGTCGCATAGTTTTAAGTAGGACAAACAATAACTCTTACATATAGGTAACTTTTTTCTACTAGCAGCTCATTCTATACCAATAATCTACCTCTGTTCCAAATTTTATCTCGATCCCTTCAGTTGTTGGCCGAGTTGTCGCAAGTACAACTGCCAGGCAAAGGGGCGGGAAAAGTATTACTGAGTTTTTTTTTAAAAATCTCAAGTAGCACGGAGTCTGGAATTGTGCTCGGTATATGGTGATAGGCTCACCCCCTATTACATGGGACTCATAACATAAATAGTGAAGTGGGGGTGTCGCATTAGACAGTGGCATACTGTGCACCTCTGCATACCCCTTCGGGGATAAACGGCGTGATGTTATGTTATGTCCCTTCAGTCGTTATGACGTGAAGGAGTAACAAACAAACAAGGAAATAAACATACAAACTTTCGCATTTATATTATTAGTAAAATACTATATTATAACATCAAAGTACAGCAATCTTCTAGTATAAAAACTATTCTTTGAAACCATGTTATACCCATTCTACAAAAATAAAAGACACGAAACGAATGATTAAGTATTGTAGTTCGTGAAAAGTCGTAAAAAATAGTGAGTTTTTATTTCCAGTACAGTTTCTAGGAAGTCAAATAGAGTTGGGGTATAGTTTATTTTATGATTCTTTTCGTTCAAAGGTCATCTTTAAAAGTAATATATAGGTTTGAGAATTGATCGAGTATTTGGTTTTAAACTTTGTTGAACATTGAACGCTTGTTTGGATATGCAATAATTTTAAAGGAAGACATATTATTATGTATTTAGACTTATAATATTTACATACACAATTATTTTTATAATAATTATCGTGGGACATACTAAATTATTAAAAAATTGCGGGTTACTCACGTGAGTATACTGACATAAGCTCTACTAGTTTCTGCGATGTCGCGAAGCCTACTCCGCCGCGACCGTGCACGCTTCTCATGAGGGAGAACCCCTCTGTGGTTCGAAACTAGTAGAGCTTTTCTCAGTATATTCACGTGAGTAGCCCGCGATTTTTATTTGACACAATTATGTGTATTAAATATTATGTAAGTATTCAAATTATTTTTATTAGAAGGCTTGATACTTATTATGTGAATGGATAGGCAGAAATTTTTTTTTTTAGATATGGAATTCCTAGGTAATTTACTAAGTAGACTTAAATTCAACAAATTAATGGGTATTAATCTAGTACTATGCAATAACAATAATGGATTTTATTAAATACAATTATGCAAAAGTGAATTTTATAAAAAATTCTTCAACAGCCAAGTAATTGTCGTTTTAAGTCAAATCCTTTGGAAGTCGTTGTACCTCAGAAATGATTTAAATTTAATGAAAACCCTTGAATAAATAAAAACAAGTTTCTTCAAAATTACTTATTCATCAATTCAGTTTTCCATAGCTACCTAGATTTTTGCCGAAGTGGTTTTACTTAGATCTAAGCACTTAAGACGGCTTAAGAATACAAAATAATTTATAGGTTCTTGCAGACATAATCATATTTGGCTCACTAGTTATTCTACGAAGAGATGGGTAGCTTCACCTAGAACTAAAAATCGGCGTCTCATTACGACACTTACCGATATATTATTGAGTTCGAAAACTTTGACCGATTTAACTCGTCGAGTACCGGTTGTATAGACACAATTAAAGAACAATAGATCGCGGTCACCGGTGACCGCTTGGTGTTTGACAGTTTAAGGCCAGGTAACGAAATTGAATAGAATCATTTTTTGGACTACCTCGTTGGCCAAGTGGTCGCAATTGCGACTGCCGGGCAAAGCGTCTCGGGTTCGATTCCCGGGTCGGGCAAAGTATTACTGGGCTTTTTCAAAGAATCTCAGTAGTAGCACGGAGTCTGGAATTGTGCCCGGTATATGGCAATAGCCTCACCCCCTATTACATGGGACTCATAACATAAATAGTGAAAAGTGGTTGTTACATTGTATAGTGGCATTAAGTGCCGACCCCTTTGAGGATAAAAGGCGTGATGTTATGTTATGTATTTCTTAGAATAAATCATATATTTTCTCAACTTGTGTTGCCGCCTCTATTAGCAACTATGAGATACGAATCCAACCTATCTAAAGTTTCTTAGTCAAGCTTGTGATCGTTAAGTTTATATTTCAGACACTCACCTATTTATTAAACAATAATTTGATTTAAAGTTAACACTTCAGATGAAATAACGTCGATAATTTTAGTTTTCTACGAAAGTCCTGTCCAAGTCTGAACTGGCACGCTAATAAATAGTTCATTCACCTTAGAATTATCTATATATATAAAAGAAAGTCGTGTTAGTTACACCATTTATAACTCAAGAACGGCAGAATAGATTTGGCTGAAAATTGGTAGGGAGGTAGCTTAGAGCCAGGAGACCGACATAGAATACTTTTTGACCAAATTTTTTTTTTACTTTTTACCAAAAATCACGAACGGGGACGGGAAAAAATGGGAATACGCGTACGAAGTCGCGGGCAGAAGCTAGTTTCAAATAAAACTATTGGAACTTTTGTGTGCCTATAAATCTAATTGATGAAAGTATTTACACTATCTGTGATCACTTCGAATCCTTCTTCTTTATACGATCATATGTTGTTGAACGACGAATGTTTGTGTCTTTATTATGCAAAAGTGACTGTAGTGATCTGAGTGAATTTTGACATAGGTATGTCTATGTCAAAATTCACTCAGATAGATCGAAGAAAGACGAACTTTATGTCTGTCCCGTGACTTAAGGACATATTTGAAGGTATATATCTAGGAAAGTAATTATAAATATCATCATTGTACCCACGACAAGAATTAAACTGCAATATAACATTAACAAAAATCGCGGTCGCGGCGATATGACGTACGCTGCTCATGAGGAAGAACCCCTCTGTGATTCGAAACTAGTAGAGCTTTTCTCAGTATATTCACGTGAGTAACCCGCGATTTTAGTTAATTTAGTATGTCTCACTATAGTTATTATAAAAACATGTATATTGTTTCAGATGAGCCAGGGTTCAGTGCACCGATAGCGAATGTGACGGCCCCACTAGGTCGGGAGGCGATACTCGCGTGCACCGTACACAACCTCTCCACCTACAAGGTCCGTAACATTGACACACTTTATCGTATAGCTTAATAAACATTTTATATAAATGTTGATGATATTTTAGATACGTACCTAACAAAAAATGTGTTGCTTAAATTACTATTTTACCTTTAGGCTATGACGAAGCTATCACAAGGCTATGGCTAGGCTGTCACCAGATCCATTAGGCTATTATTTATAGCCCTTAGAGTATACACTAGACCACTGGCTTACTACTATATAGATAGATAGTTAACTAGTTCTAGTCCTTTTAATGCAACAATGCATATTTTTAACATGTGATCAATCGAGGCACTTGAAAAGTTATTACTTATATTAAATTTCAATCAGTACAATTCTTAACTGTTTTTGATACTTATTAAATCCTTTATACCTCGAATGAGAGGTAGGATTACTTCTATTAAGTACTCTCAAATTTCGCCAATTACAATATTAATCCCAATGTAATGGGGTCGCACCCTATTACTGAGAATTTTCAAATGGAAAAATAGATTAATACCACATTGGGAACCGAACTTGGGGTTTTGCGTTTGGCAGTTGCGATTGTTCACAGTTGACTAAGAAGACAGTTAACATATTGTCGTTATAATAAAATAGCTATTTTTTTTAAACCACGCGGTTACACCTGCTCTGCTTTGCGCCTATTTATTGTAGTGTGATGTTTAATAGCATATAGGCTTCCTTGATAAATGAACTATCCAACACAAAATAGTTTTTCAAATGGAACGTGGATGTTCCTGATATTATCGCGATCAAAAAAACAGACAAACAATCTCCTCAGCTTTATACAATAGTACCTATATGATATATGATTTTCTCGGGACAGCTTATCCGATATGTAGATATAGATATAGCTTATAGATAGCTTTATCCTTCATTTAATATTTTGATTAACTATAGTGGTTTATGTTGCTTTAAACTGACATTTGGTACAAGTTTACCAATCAGGAATTGCCTCTATTAAAATAATGTATAATGTTGACTGTCCTCTTAGTGCCTGCCCCATTGGCCGAGTCGCAAGTGCGACTGCCGTGCAAGGGGTCTCGGGTTCGATTCCCGGGTCGGGCAAAGTATTAATGGGATTTAAAAAAAATCTCAGTAGTAGTATGGAGCCTGGAATTGTGCCCGGTATATGGCTATAGGCTCACTCCCTATAACATGGGACTCATAACATAAATAGTGAAAAGTGGGTGTTGCAGTGTACAGTGCCATTAAGTGCTGTAATGTACACCTCTGCCTACTTCTTCGGGAATAAAAGGCGTTAATGTTATGTCCTATTAGTCGAGTGTTTGTAAATACCTTCCTACTGCTGTCTAGCACTGAGACTTAATGCTAGTATTATTGTAAAAAACTAATTGAGATAAAAACAATCAATTACATCTACAAAAATACTAACTAATTTAAAAGTTTACTTATTTAGAACATTATATTAGTAAGAAGATTATATACTTATAGGTTTTATAGTTATTAGTATGATTTTAGATGAATTTCACAAATGAGGACGATTTAAACAAAAATGTTTTCCAATTTAGTCTAATGTGTTTTCAAAAGATTAGTTATTAGGAAAAAGTCAGTTTTATCTAACCTTCCAGTAAATACACAGTTAACTTCAAAGACGTTTGTGATAACTTGATAAGATATTATTTGTACGTTAACGTTAGGGCCTATTTCACAAAATGTATACAAAATATTTACAAAAATATATTCAAATATAATCATATCTAAAAATCGCGGGTTACTCACGTGAATATATTGAGAAAAGCTCAACAACTAGTAGTAGTTTCGAACCACAGATGGGTAGGCTACGCGCGTTAGGCTGCGCGACTTCGCCGCAACCGCGCAAGCTCATGAGCTTCCTCATGAGGAAGAATCCCTGTGTGGTTCGAAACTAGTCGAGCTTTTCCCAGTATATTCACGTGATTAACCCGCGATTTGTAGTTAATTTAGCATATCGCACGATAGTTATTATAAAAACTATTCATTAAAGTTTAAAAAACATTTCACTCAACGAAAGCTCAGTAGTAAGTATATTTTATAACATACCTCGTAATACTTATCATCTTACACGAAAATACAGAAAACTATACCGACATACGTGCAGCGAGGCGCTAATGCTAAATAAAAGACGACTTATAAAATTTAGATCTTACGTGATCTTAGCCTTAAAGATGCTGCAAGCGTTTTACTGCAGATTTCCTCTTAAAACTTTCTGCATTTGTTAAGAAGAGTGTCTTAACTTATAAAAGAGTATATAATTATAAAAATAAACTTAATACTACAGACTGCATAGGAGAATTTAAAGAAAACTAAGTGGTTCTGTTTTAAGTAGAATCGCGGTTATTAACCATCATCTAATTCTTTAACGATTAATGGGACGCTTCTGGGTATTCATACTAACTACAAATAGAGTTGTTAGAAATGATAATGTAATTCGTCAGTCACCTTTTAAATTATAAATGAATAGTAGAGAGGACTATTGTTAGCCAAGTCTAACCGACACCTTGAGACGACGGCGACGTGATAGACTGTGACAACACCATCTCAAATTAATCTTAATTGCCTTAAGAATAGAACACAGGAGTGCTTTTATGTTAGTGAACAGCTCCCATCGAACACTGAAGTAAATTCACGCCTAATTTAGAATGTGTTCTCAATTAGATGACACGACACATTAATTGAATAGTAAATTAAGCTAATTTTCTCAGTCTGTTTCCATAATCACAACGTTTAAAAATTGATGCGTTGTTGGTCGAGTGGTAGCAAGTGCGACTACCGGGCAATGGGTCTCAGGTTTGATTCCCGGGTCATACTACTAAGTTTAAAAAAACGTTCTGTGGTAGTACGGAGTATGGCATTGTCCCCGGTATATGACAATAGGCTCATCCCCTATTACATGGGACTCAGTAACATAAATAATAGTGGCATTAAGTGCTTTAATGTGCACCTCTGCCTACCCCTTCGGGGGTAAAAGGCATCATGTTATGTTAAAAATAGATCTGATCTTTTACGAGGTTTATCTCTACAAAACATTATTTAAAGATCCATAAAACATTCAGTACAAACCGTTATAATGATTTACTCCAACCAACAGTATCGTATTTCAGTATAGCCTAACAAAACTCCTAAAAATGTCATTCAGAACTTTATGAAAGTTTTTCAATCGATGTTCGCGTATGAGCGCCCAGCAGTAGTAGCTACGGGAATGTCGCATTACCATTATTATCGAAACTTATTTAGATTTTTATAACAGAGTTTTTGTGGTCGTAATGGTGTTTTTAAAATGGCCATAAACATTTGGTAATAGGTCGCGTGGTTGAGGGTAGACACGCAGACCATTCTCACAATCCATACGCACGTGATATCGAGGAGTCGAAGAGTGGGGGTGACTCACAGCGACCACCGGACCTGGTTCCTGCACATTCGGGAGCTGCGGGAGACGGACAGAGGATGGTATATGTGCCAGATAAACACAGACCCCATGAAGTCACAACTTGGATACCTAGATATCGTCGGTAAGCAGATATGAGTAATAAATTCTATCTTCCTTCTATTTCTATTCATCTAGGTTTATGTTACAATCTTGTTATATAGAAACACAATACATTTTACAAGAAAACTTTACAGACAGTTGTTCTAAATATAGTAGTTGATCTAAGAAACAATAGGCTTTGTACTAATACTGTGTACAATTATTTTGAGTAAATCTAGAACTGAAATTTGTTTTGAGTAAAATTTTGTGTAATTGAAAACATTGTGCTACGAAAAATTTGGTTATTTTAATTGCATAGTTATGAAAACAATTCAATTGTATTTACATTAAATTAAGTGTATTATTTGTTTTATGTTAAATCATTCTTCAACTGATTACAATTTATCAATCTTGGATACAGTAAATAGAATATTTTTTTATGTTAAATCTTTAAAGATATAAAACCAATTATTCAATTACATATTATTTCTATTTCTGCCTTGTTGGCCGAGTGGTCGCTAGTGCGATTGCCGGGCAAGGGGTCTCGGGTTCGATTCCCGGGTCGGGCAAAGTATTACTGGGTTTTAAAAAAAATCTCAGTAGTAGCACGGTGTCTGGAATTGTGCCCGGTATATGGCAATAGGCTCACCCCCTATTACATGGGACTCATAACATAAATAGTGAAAAGTGGGTGTTACATTGTACAGTGGCATAATGTGCACCTCTGCCTACCCCTTCGGGGATAAAAGGCGTGATGTTATGTTTATGTTATGTTATTATTTCTAATTCCTCTCATCTCTAGGTATAGGTAATAAGAAGTTAAATACTAATAATTGCTTTATATTCCATGTCCATTAGTCCCACCTGACATTCTCGATCGAGGCACGAGCACAGACCAGACGGTACGGGAAGGCGCCTCGATAAATTTAACATGTGCTGCTACGGGATCACCGCATCCACAAATTACTTGGCGAAGAGAACATTCCAAACCTATTACCATCTCAGACGGAATGCAAGGTAAATATTGTTTGTACATAAACGGTAATGGACGTTGTTATAACATAGCGGTTGATTTTCGTCAAAGGATTAAATAGGTGTCATTAGTCTCATGAAAATAATATAATAAGCCTATTTCTATGTACCTATAAAATTGCGGACGCAATTTGCGTAGACAGTATTTCATAGTCTCAACTATTAAAAATGTATTGTAACTTATATTTTCGTTTCCATAGATACAGAAAATATTTAAGACCAAGAGTCATGTAGAACATCCTCACCACCTGAACATGAGCTTTAGGTAATCATAAATGAACAAAATAGGGGAAAGTCCCGTAACGCCGGACGGCACCTAACGCCGGACATTTGTATTATCTCGATAACTGATAACACGAGCGATTTGCCGGATTACCGCCGTGGGATCTGGAGGCGAAGGTGCTCGCGCGCGTGCACAGCATGCGCGCGGAGGTACGTCGCCGGGGCGAAACTCCGCTGCCGCGCCAGATAAGTGCGTGGCGGGATGAGCTCCGGCGCGATCTCATGGCGGAATGGCAGCAACGACTGTCGCAACCGAGGACTGGGCTCGCTGCCATCGCAGCGTAAAGTTCCCTCTTTGAGGAGTGGCTTGAGAGACGCTACGGCGTCCTCACCTACCGCCTGACGCAGGTCCTCACCGGACATGGCAGTTTCGGGAGGTACCTGTGTCTGATGGGGCGGGAGGAAACGCCCGGGTGTCATCACTGCGAGGACCGCCCTGAGGACACGGTGGAACACACGGTGGGAGAATGCCCTTCGTGGGCTGAGCACCGCCGTGTCCTCAGGGAAGTGATCGGCGATGGCGACCTCTCGCGTCCGGGCCTAGTGCAGGCCATGATGCGGAGCGAGGGGGATTGGGATGCCGTCTCCTCCTTTTGCGAAGCAGTCATGCTAGCTAAGGAGGAGGCGGGACGCGTGAGGCAGCGAAGCGCTGCCTCCTCGCAACCCAGCCATCGCGAAGGACACACCGGGCGTCGGGGATCGCGGGACGATCTCCGGCCACCGTAAGCGCGGGCCTGCGGACGGCGAGCATGGGTGGCTCCCCGTCCGACCAGAAACAGACCCGAGCGTACGGCGCGTCGCGTTCCGCGCGCGCCTCAAAGAGCCATCAGACCACCACAGATGGGGCCCAATAGGGCCGATGCCGATTCGGAGTCGCGGAGAACCTAACGGGTAACCGGGGCTCCGGCTCGACGTGCAGGAGAAGGAACGGGGTGGTTTTTAGTCAGTAAGAGTCTGACACTCCCTCCCGCCTCACCCAGGCGGGGGCAGTCATTCGATGATTTTCCCCCCTTAAAAAAAAAAAAAAAAACACGAGCGATTAAATTTGGCAAAAATCTTAGGTATCTGCCACTGCAAGACTTCCCTCTAAAAATTGAATCGGTCGCGTTTTTAGTTATCGAGATAATGCAAGTATCCGGCCTTAGGTGCCGTCCGGCGTTAAGGGACTTTTCCCTATGTAGATATTTTAACTAAAAAAGCCAAAATCATAGAAATATATAATATATAAATATTTATATTAAAAAATTTTAAAAAATAAATAATCATACAATTTATTTCATTATTTATATAAAAAATACCAATTAATAAAGGTAAAGAAACAAATAAAGTATAAAATAATATATACATATACGCCTGTTTGAATACGCTTCGGTTCTTTACGCTCCTACTATTTATAATTTACACGTTAAAACCGCTATACCCATCTATAGCACAACCACGAATTTTGAACATTGCACCTTCCTGCAATCTAACTGAACATATGTATACTATGTATGTCGATCATGTATCGTTAGACCAATGTTCAGTGCATGTCTTACATAATAGGAACAGAGAACAGTTTACTTTGCGTCTGTTGTACATAGTTTAACTTGGTTTGTACTTAGTAATTTGTATTAAACTACGATACTAGTAACATCGTCTGAAGCGGTTCATAATAACAATATAGTGCATTCTAATGGTTGCTACTAGATTTTGATGAAGGGGATACTTTATGTGCAGTAATTAGATGCATGAGAGCGGTAAATCGAAATTAACTAAAAATCGTGGGTTACTCACGTGTATATACTGAGAAAAGCTCTACTAGTTTCAAACCACAGAGGGGTTCTTCCTCATGAGCAGCGTGTGCGGCGGAGAGTAGGCTGCGCGACATCGCTGCGACCATGAGGAAGAACCACTCTGTGGTCCGATCCGCGATTTTTAGTTAATTTAGTATGTCTCACGATACACTTGTTATAAAAACACAGCGGTAAATCGTTTCATGATGACAGAGTAGAACACCAAGTGTCACCACCACTCCTCTTTCCGCGGGTGATATTTTCCGATATTTTTCACGTGAGAATAAGGTGGATGAAGCCACTGGTAAATGCAATACATATTTGTTGCAATGACGTCATTGAAAGTATGTGTGACTAGTTGCTGCCAGTGTCTGAACGATTATGACGTCACAGTACATGTCTGTAATACACCTAACTTTGTGTATAGTACTGTGGTCGCCTACAAGAAGTACCTGCCTAGATAAGCCAAAAGATATATATGTCCTATCTTTTTCTAGTCTCTTTTTTGCTATACTTCTTAGTATTGCACATCCCTGATCAATCTACTATCCACAATTACGACAATATCGTCTACCGTGTACGCTTGTGAATAGTATATAGTAGACGGTATCGGTCTGCACTTGTGAATAGTTTCAGCAATACTCATACCAAAGTTTAGACTTCATTTCTAATTTGTAATATACATTAAATAATATAACAGTTCTTTAATACAATATTATTGTTGCAGTGACGTCTTTCGAAGGCCCAGAGCTGAATATAACTAGAGTGACCAGACAACACGCAGGGGCTTACCTATGCATCGCTTCAAATGGAGTACCACCCACAGTTAGCAAAAGGATAATGCTTACAGTACAATGTAAGTATCTCTGTATTCGTTTAGTCTTTTTTAATATGTTTTTCGACTTATTCACGTACTAGCTTTTACCCGCGGCTTCGCTCGCGTCGCAAAAGGATAAAATGTAGCCTATGTGACATATACCAATACACACAGCGCCATCTATACCAATAATTTCGTTTTTCCTCGAGAATGTCACATTTTTCCAGGATAAAAAGTACCCTATTATTTAATCCAGACTTCTAACTTCACGTCTGCAAAAATTCTAAGCAATCGGTTTAGTAGTTACGGCGTTAAAGTGGAACAAACAAACAAACAAACAAACAAACTCACTTTCCGATTTATAATATAAGTAAGGAAGTAAGGATATTCACGTATTGTTTGGATTAGTTTCGTTTACGCAACACACGACGCGATGCGCTACTGTTATAATACAAATATGGCTTTTTTTGTAACGATGGAAAATCATCTAATGACTTCTTCCGCCCTGGGTGAGTCGGGAGTGCCTTGTTGTTCAAGCAAGCGCGCGCAACAAAATCCCAAGTTAAGAAAAGTAGTATTGCCTCTTGCAATCTTAAAGATTGTCAGGATGGTATAGTTCCTGGATTGTGATAGATAATATTAATATTAATAAATGTGTTGAATTAAAGAAGGTGAAAATAATATTAAGCGCTTGTTGTCAGTAATAGTATGGTTTCTGGATTGAGCCCAGTGTATATTTTATGGATACAACAAATCAAATTAAAACACTTTAATGAAACGTTCAAACAATATTGTTATTAACATGTATAATTGATTTAAAAAAAGGTGGAATAAGCGCTTGGATTATATTATTTTGTAACATTGCATGGACTCAAAAAATATCGGTTCCAGTTACTGCTCATTTTAATCCGATATCGCCTTTAATAACGAAAATAAACATGAAAATTTTAAATCCTAACAAATATGCTACAATTTTTCCCTTTACCTAAGTCTATTTAAATATTGACAATGAATCGTTTTTCGATTTTATGACGCATTTTATTAAAATTTTACGTACGAAAACATTGTAAATTGCCGGTGTGGGTTTTGTATCACATTTTACAAACGAATATTGTATCAACTTTTAAAAATAAAACTTGCTATAAGAGTTGCAATTTATAAATATTATGTCAGGTTGCATCGTGAGTGTTGTTCGAATCGAAAATATAGTTTTGTATTTCTACAGAGCTATTAAGGACCGATTTTTCAAAGACCAGTTATTTTAACTGAGAAATAACTTTTAATTTTAAAGTCAAAGTATTTATTTTAATTAAACCTTATTTTGGTACTTTTGAAACGTCAATAAATACAAAATAAATAATAAGCAGGGTGAAGCTAGGTGCTCATTTCAAAATATAGTTTCGAATGGAGAAGAACGAGTAAGAAACTCCATTCGTTCCTCTTTTAAAAAAAGTATGTTCTACAATGTCTCTGATACATACTCCAATACTGTACGTATATGTGAGAACAATGCAAAGACACGCTTGACACATTATACTAATTACAAAACTTGCAAAAATAAAAATAAAATATAAATAAAATCTTATAGTCTAACATGGTGCTCTGCTCACATATGCATACTGTAACTATTAATTACTAAACTATTAATACTAATATGAACTACAATATTTGACAATCCTTCTATACTAAAAACTGTCAAATGTAAATTTTATTCTACAGTTAAGAATTAACTGATGATTGAAAAATTGGCCCTAAATAAACAATTGATGGCAAATTTTATCAACCATTTCTAAATTAATACTTAACTAAAAGTTGCGTAGCATGATGTAGCACCTAGCACGTAAACTAACTCCTTACTTGTGCGGTTACATATTTTTAAGTTGATGAAAACTATAAAACTATAAAACTATAATATCTAGAACACCTAAGGGTGTTCCTATAAATGTAAGAGAGATTGGTGAGAACGGGCGTAAGTAACTTAAAGTAAATTACAAAGCCATATTTAAGCAAACATCTAATGATGGTGAACTACATTATGTTATTAGCTGGAATACTGATATCGTTGGATGTCAAGAACTAAAGATCGAGCTTAATGGGCTTTTTTTGGATAGGATCACCCGTAATTTAGCACGCTGAGACTGTTGACTACACGCTAAGACTGCGGTCACTTACACCGGCAAGGGCAGATTGTTATTGGTGGACTGATGATACAAAAAATCAAACCTGATGGTACTGTAAATCTTTGGGTAACAAGAACAGAGAAACGACGGTACGGTACGATAGGTTAAATTAAGGTGACTTTTAAACGATGATCGCATTTTAACGAATGCATCATTTATCATTAATGACCCGTGGCTGTTCTCTGCTGGACAGTAGAATGATCCGAATATGAAAATCAAGATCTGTTTACAAATAATACCAACCCATATTACAAAACTATGTAACCAAAGAATTGTATTGTGAAACTGATTGAAAAAGAGTAACCTATGGAGCGTCTTGCTCTTTCTTTTCTATAGGAATATATACCTTGGAATGAGCAAATAGCTTCACTTTTAAATTGTTTGTTAACGTTCAAAAATACCTTTTTGTTGTACTTGAAATAAATGATTTTGACTTTGAATATTGGTTTAGATTTCTATTCTATTATACGAGAAATTGTTTTTTTCATTTTAATAGAAAATACGTTTCAATAAACAGGAACACTAGCGGGTAATTTTTAGGATACCTACTATGCGAAGACTAAATTATTAAATAAACTTGCAGATCAATATGGAAAATGAATATTAATCAACTGTAATATTTTATGAGAAGGTTTATAGTTGTAAATTTAAGCTAATTGAATCTTTGTTAAGATGTAATAAGATTGAAATCTGAATGAATTAGTTTGATTACAGAATGCTAATTACTAGGTCTATTCTTGTTCGTGTTCTGACAGTAATTGTCATTAGGCATGAGATTGTTGAATGCTATAATTATTTAGGTACTTATCTTTAATTAGTAAGTAATCAACTAATTGTAAACGTTTTGAATTTTCACATAAATAGTGAAAAGTGGGTGTTACTTCTGTGTGCACCTATGCCTACTTCTTCGGGGATAAAAGGCGTGATGTTATGATGTTATGTATTGATTTTTCCTACGAAGAAAAGGTTTCCGGTCGTCATTAACAATAAAAATAAAGTAATTCAAAAATGTTATATCAAACTCAGGAACAGCATCTTATGTGGTTCACTGACCTTTTTTTTAATGGGACAAGCCCGCCACAATCTCCCAAAACCGCTGCAACTCCTGTAAGCCAGGATCTACAGTAGATGCAACCATGAAAACACCGGAACACTCGGCGCGTGGTTCACTGACCTGTGAATTGTACCTTTTTAATGTAGTCACACAGAAATTGTCGAATCCCACGGTGGTAACTGGTACTTTAGAGTAACATTGTCTATCACCTTCTGCCAGCGGCTTCGCCCGTTAAAAAGTATCTTATATGTTACTCTAGAGCAAAATCTACCTCTGTCTGAAAAAAAAAAAAATCTCTGTCCCAAATTTCATCCCGATCCCTTCAGTCGTTTTGATGTGACTGTGTAACAAACATACACACAAACTTAGTACTTACGTACATTCATACCAAGCTTCATTGTGGATCGATAGTTTTTGCGTGATGCGTGAACATATAGACAAACAGACAGACAGACAGATAAAAAAAAAATTTTCAATCATATTTTTGGGTACGGTATCTGTCTAGTAAAACTCCGTACTTTTTATTTTTTTTTAATATTTTCAATGTATAGAATTTTCACTTCTAATATTTTTATTGTATGTGTAGGATTTAGCACCTTAATAATTTGGTATCATCATTAATAATATAAATTTCTATTGTCCCAGTTCCCCCAGTAATAACAATAAGGAATCAGTTGGTTGGAGCAGCCCTAGGCACCGAGCTTGTGCTGGAATGCGAGACCGAAGCGTATCCTAAACCCGTCAGCTATTGGAGCAGAGATAACGGCGAGATCGTCCCTGTTGGTAAGATTATATAGACTTTATTAATTATTTTTTAAACTATACCTGTTTAATTAAATATGCCTATCAGCTAGTGGTATAACTTACAATATTCAAGGCTGCTATGTCCAGGGTTGTTGCTGTGTCTTACAAGAGATATGTCCTCTTTTGACATTAAAACCTTACTTCTAATATAAGATACACTCAAAATAGACCTTTTGTAAACAACAAAATCTATAGCTTAAATCCAACCTTTAAAAATATCTTCCATTGTACTAACATTTCATATATAAAAGGTTTTATTATCTTAATAATCCGTAGATCTATAAAAGCTCACGAGAATCGTCCTAATGTATCTTCACCCGCATCGGGCTTAGGCAGTTAGGCCGCATACTTTTGCCCTCGATTATACACACATACATACATATTTGTACGACTCATTTAGCGCCCAATTAAAAGGAATCCTTGTCCAGATATAGTCCTTTAAAATGTGGACATTAACTTAGTGTTTATACCTAAAATAATGTGTTCCAGCTTTTACGTACCTCAGTTTGTTCCCATTGTTGGTACAAAATTAACAAATCCTTTGTTTACACTCAGACGTTCATTACTTTTACATTTTCATTATGAGATAATGCTTTAGTTTATTATTTTTGTTATATGTGTGTTTTACTTTTTCTGTTACGGTTTGTAGTTTGTTTGGAATTATGTGATTGTGTTTGTTATCTTGGGAAAACAGAGGTCAGAAATATTTTATACTACATGTTATTTTAACGTGTTAAAAACTAGTATATATAGTTTTATATAACGTATTAAAAACTAGTATATATATATATAGTTTTGTACTTTATGGGGTGGTATATCGAGAGTTATTTTTAGTAATTTGTGAGCTGATGTTTATTTGCGAAAATATCAGCTTAAGCTTACAACGGACTGAGGTCTTTAAGGCCAAAATAAGAAATAAATAAAATTAATCTACCTTTGTTCTATTATATTGTTATATAAGAAGAATATCTCTAGGCTATTTTTGATCTCCAAATAAATTAGTTCATAAATCCCAGGCACCGTAGATAAAGAAACAATAAACAATAAATTAAGAATATAAGAATAAGAATAATTGTTCAATATTTAATAGATCTTGTACTTATTTAACATCCACAAATAACTCTGCAATTAAAAATTCGTTGACATTTAATGACTGCCCCTGTCAACAAATGCTGGTGCAATCACTAACTCCAATTTATGAGCTATCGAAAACTCACACGGTGCCAATTGACAGCTGCTGTCCACATTGCAAAATTGAATTTGATATCTATAGCGATACTGATAGAGTTGAGAACGGTTGTAGACTATTTTACTTTTTTCTAGAAGAGTAGAAAGACTCGTAGTCTATGCGGCCAAATGGATATCATGTCGGATGATTCTTTGTGAAAATTAATGTTATGTTTTATCGTTTTACATAAGACGTCCATTTAAGATTTTCATCTCAGAATCACTGTTATTGTGTAAAAATAAATTTCCGTTCGTTAGTCTCGCTACAACTTAAGAACGGCTGAACAAATTAGGCCAATTTTGGTCTTGAAATCGAAAAGTCCAGGGAAGATTTAAAATAAAAGGTGGGTAAAAAATTTTAGGCGGTACGAAGTTTGCCGGGTCGTCTAGTTTTCAAATAAAAGTAAATCATGTTTTTCTTTTATTTAGAAAATATTTTTTTCTTTTATTTGAAAATAATTACGCTAACACCAAATGTAATACATATTATATTGTACTATAATTTCAGACGATCTTCAGAAGTGGTAAATCACTGTTACCTAATAATAATTTAGTCGGGTAAAAATACGTCTCTCACTTGTTGTTCTATATTTACACGCCGAAAATAAAAGATAAATATTTTCTGCCTGATAAATTGGTTGTTTGAAAACAATAAAGAAACTCTGCGTGATCCTTCGACACAATGGCCGGAGAGATTTTGATACTCGATATACGTCAATTTTTGCTAGGGATGGCCATTAATTCTGCTCTTTGATACTAAAATTGAACTTTTCAAAGATGACATTTGGTTTGAGATTTATCCTAGTTCTAAAATAGCTCAATTAAAAGCTGGATTCATACGCTTTTAGACATACGAGCTTTCAGGTAAACGAAGATATGTAATTAGTAGAGTAGACGAGCGAAATTTTGTGTTACAAAATGGAAACTAATTAATTTCGGACTTGGCGGCGTTGACCGAAACTTTTTTAGGATACGACGACAGTTTGTAATATCATCGGTTTTATCTCATGCTTTTGCTCGAAATACGGTTGCCCGTCACATAAAGTCAAAATTCAGGCGACTGTAATTAGTGACTAGATTTATTTTTTGTATACTTTTTAAGGTGTCAGGTACAGCAGTGATTAATTATAAATAAAGTTTGTTCTATTTTTGCTGTCTGCCAATAGATGGTCGTGCGTAATGCTTAGAGATTCTTCTGTGCAGCGTCTCTTGTAGGAGAGAATGCGAAGTCATAAATATCCTTTATCTTATATGCTATTACAGTCGTAACAGAAAGAAGGTGAAACTTTTAAATAAAGTCGAACCAACAATTGACATTCTATTCTAGTATCTAAACACTCACGTTTTAATTTTGTGTAGATTGTAGATGGCAGGTACATTGAATTCAGATACAACATTTACGTAAGTGTAGAACTTCGTTCTCTACTAAACCTTGTAAGGAAAAGGCCAGTAGTAGCACTGAAGTGTTTTAAGACAAATCTGTGTAACCTTGCTAAATTCTCAGGTGACACGCGCAGTGTATCCGATGACCTGCACCGTATTCACTTTACAACATCGCGTGACTTCAACAAGATCCGCACCCAAATGTGCGAAACATTCTTACTCTTATACACAACCCTAGACTGTGTATTCAGGTCCTATATTTAGTAAGATATATGCAACAGAATTAACATATTGCATTTTCACTTGGCTTATCTTCAAAGGTCTTAGTTCACAGCTGAAGTTCATGTTCGTGCTGCCCCTACAACTTAGCGGAGGTCGCTACCCAGCGATTGTTTTAAAACTAAGAGGAATTTCCAGTTTAGATTCACATCGATTCAGCGCATTGCGCTTATTTCCTAGGTCAGCAGTGGACGAGTACGTTAGACATGTCTGATATTATTAAAGACTTTTACATTTAGGATTTTATGTATTTTACTCACGCGTTCGTTCTCTGTGAGTATCGTTAAGTTTACACGATATGACGTTAATAGTTACAGACGCAGTTTCAAGTAAATGTTGTATAACATCTGTAAGTAGTAAATCATATAAACTAATATTAATACCCGTCAAGTTACAATAAGCATTACTTCAATTCTAGACTCCTAAATGTAATTCCCGAAATTGACGGCTATACCTTCAAATTCGGTATTTTATTAAAAAAGATGGACCATAAATATTTCTACTTTGGCAAGAAGTACTACACTGAGCCACGTATACGGCTGTATTTTACATATAATGGAATTATTTCTGTGAAATTATTCTTTCTCTTTTCTCCAACATTACTAAAGTAATGCGAAGGCTTAGCATTCCGACGAAATTTTTAAAATGATCCGTTTTTGTGGGCCAAGGTTTTTTGGTTTACCTATATAAAAGGTTGTACACATTGAATAAATAGTTGTAGTGAAGCGTAATTTAATAAATATCACTCAGTAGACTAACTAATATCCAATAAAAACTACAAATACAACTATGGGAACAGAAATACGAAGACGATTTAAGCCAAATATAAAAAGAAACCGCTATTAAAATTTTCCTGATAATGTTCACTAAAGGACACCCATTGATTGCATAACAAATCACAAAATTCATTACAAAATCATATCAAGCATCCACTTGATCTACAAGTCTGTGTTTGTCAAAGTATGGTAATCCCTTAGGAGTTTAACCCGCACTGATGAAATCTTAATAATGTTTGGTGCTTGCATATCATCCGCTTAGGGGCCAGCTTTAAATATCAAAGCTTCTGGAATACTCTAAGATCGTTGCTCGAATTGTACGGACAAACGGTACAAGAATCGAGTTGCACACAATTCTGTTGTAACTACAGACGCAGGACTCATCGAATACCGCAAACTATCCGAGGATATTGGTTACTCTACACCTTCTTGACACACTTTGGATAAGTACTTGATAAGTTCTGATTTGGATTTTAAATTTGAATGAAATAAGACTGTGTATTAATTATACTTATTATAGAATATTGTGTTTTTTAGGTAAAAATTATTAAAAGTTGTGATTTAGAGTTAATTTTCATTGCGATTTCGAGTACCGCGAAGTCCAGTATCTGGAGGCACGGCGGTGCCTAAGCGCCCGACAGCCAAGTCACACAACATTAACTATAATAATAAAGAAGTCGCAGTAACAAACCTTAGGCTTAGCACGACTTTGTCTAGATTTCATTACTTTTTAGAGACGGCTCGTTCATCGGCTTCATCGAGACTTGGCTTGTTTTTTACAGAATGTTTTTTTGATATTTGTTACATTTTCTGCGAAAATTCCCTTTATATTTTTTTCAAAAGATCGGCTTTACATAACTGATTCTACGTAAATGACGCCAACGTAAACTCAGGAAACAATACAAATCGGTGTCCATAAAATTCAGTGGTCGTTCTGGAATGTTCTATCTATAGAAACGTGGAGTTGAAACATTCCTACCGTGATAATATAAAGGTCACGACATCGATTGGTATTCACTGTCAAGTCAACAATATAATTATCACTACAAAAAATATTTTTCATTAAAAGTAAGTCGAGCATGATACATAAAATAAAATGTCAAAAGTTGAACGTGGTTCGAGTACGTGATGTCAGTATTTCATAACATTTCGTTGCGTAAAAGTTACAAAGGCGATCATTTTACCGGCAACCTGTTTCCTGGTCTAATGGAGATTAAACTGTACCAATCCTTTTTAAATTTAATTTTGAACTAACTAAGGAATGTTGTTCTTATAAAATACGTAAAACAATTTTTCGAAGTTAACTTTTTTTACAAAATCTGTAATAGCTTAGCATATTCTTTGTAATCTACTATATACACTGAACCTTTTAAATTGGTTAAAGGGAAATCGGGATAGAATAAAGAAAGCTATAGTTGTACTACTAGAGAAGTACTAGATATTTTTTGGAAAGATTAAATTTTTTCCTACAAAATCCTAAGTATTTTACGTAAACAATTTATCTAAACATTCAATATAGCGAAGTATTGTACGGGTGTAATATGTTAAATACATTTTCGTGTACAGGGGGAGGTTTGGAGCCCCACAAGATAGATGGATCATATCGATCAGTGCTGAAGCTCGCGATACGAAGAGTTACTAGTTCCGATTATGGGACCTACAAATGTGTCTCAAAAAATTCCCTCGGAGACACCGAGGGCACTATTAAATTGTATCGTAAGTATTAAATGTCTAACTAATTAATGTTCTGGTGATAGCCAACCCGCATTGAGCAAGCGTGGTGATTAATGCTTAAACCTTTTCCGTGAGAGAGGATGCCTTTGCTCAGAAGTGGACACTTATAGGCTGTCGATAATGATGTTGATGTATGTATAAGCACATTTAATTTATTTGAGCTTTGATGTTGATGAACGGAAAGGTTGGATTGCGTGAGATGTATGACGGAAATTTCATCATCTACCTATGTATATAACTGTGAATGATTTGAGACTTGACAAAAGAGAATGAATTCCTAGTAACCTGAAATGTAGGCACACAGAAAAAAGAATGACATGTTTAAAACACATTTTTGCACTTAGATTTTTTCGTACAAATCACTTAGGTATGTGAGATAATATTAATATTTACGCGAGCTTTTTTCCTTTCAATAGCTATGCCTCTTCCACCGATGGAAAACAAAAATGGTAAGATAGACGAAGTATCGTCAACCTACACCGACAACAACCTATATCACACATAACTTGGGCTCGCTGCCATTGCAGCGGTAAGTCCCCTCTTTGAGGAGTGGCTTGAGAGACGCTACGGCGTCCTCACCTACCGCCTGACGCAGGTCCTCACCGGACATGGAAGTTTCGGGAGGTACCTGTGTCTGATGGGGCGGGAGGAAACGCCCGGGTGTCATCACTGCGAGGACCACCCTGAGGACACGGTGGAACACACTGTTGCGGAATGCCCTGCGTGGGCTGAGCACCGCCGTGCCCTCAGGGAAGTGATCGGCGATGGAGACCTCTCGCGTCCGGGCCTAGTTCAGGCCATGATGCGGAGCGAGGGGGACTGGGATCGCGGGACGATCTCCGGCCACCGTAAGCGCGGGCCTGCGGACGGCGAGCATGGGTGGCTCCCCGTCCGACCAGAAACAGACCCGAGCGTACGGCGCGTCGCGTTCCGCGCGCGCCTCAAAGAGCCATCAGACCACCACAGATGGGGCCCAATAGGGCCGATGCCGATTCGGAGTCGCGGAGAACCTAACGGGTAACCGGGGCTCCGGCTCGACGTGCAGGAGAAGGAACGGGGTGGTTTTTAGTCAGTAAGAGTCTGACACTCCCTTCCGCCTCACCCAGGCGGGAGCAGTCATTCGATGATTTTCCCCCCTTAAAAAAAAAAAAAAAATATCACACATAACTAAATAAAAAAATGGAACTCCAAATTAAATTCCATTTTAAAAAAGATTTTTATGTTGTTGAAACGTATAATAACGTGAATGTTTTGACAGTTGTCCAAAGGTTAAACATCGTAGCTGATAAATCATCTGAAAGCACGCCCTTCGGCACCCAAGGTACGTATTAACTATCGGTCAACAGCTATTAGGATTTAATATCAGGCAATTACACCCGAACTCGCAGCCCGTGTTTAGTTTAAAATATCTTGATTTAAATAATTATTGTCACATTAAAGCTAATGGCTTGTCTGCTTATATGTGAACCGTAGAGTAAATGTGACTTGAATATTTATTCAATGTAAAGAGTATGAAAATTGTTCATGCCTGTCAATTTTATAGGTCGGGTGGGGCAGTGGCTCAAAGTAGCTACTACAATGCAAATGTGATTCCCACATTCAATAATATGTGAAATAAAAAATAAATTCAGATATAAAGATTTCCACCTATTGTTTTCCAAAATGACAGACAGATTTGCATTTTTAATAGATCCACTTTTCATTATTGTTGTTACTCCATTTTTATTTATATGTGGGCATGATTCTAGATCCCGTACTACCGAGATTATCAAAATTGAAAACCTCATCTATAAAATGTAGTTCGTGGTTTTCCTTAATTTAAGAACAAAGGGCAGTCACTAGTAGGTACTTAGGTACTAAGTAATATTTTGTACGATTTGACCCCATTCATTTTACTGTAATTACTGATTACAATATTTAACTATTATACTACTATATATTGTAATCTCTGCTGTTCGATATCTTAACATTTTAAAATAAACAAATTAGGTTTACATTAAAAATAATGTGAATTCATTAGAATTACACGCAGAAAATTATCGAGTCTTTTTGACAATTTCATGTGAAAAATGCTTTAATGAAAGACCAAAATATTACAATTACTTTGTATTTGTTTTCAAAAAATCAAAAGTAACTTGTTCCCTTGCTAATTAGTGTAATGTTTTCAGATTTCAGGTTACAAGATTACAACAGAGCCTCAAAGTATCAGTGTTGCCATTTTTTGTTTTTATTAATATTTTTATTCTGATAACATTGTCCCGGGGTTGATGTTCCTTAAGTTTAGCTAGTAAGTAAATAAATACATTATGTAATGTCTCTTGTAAGAATAATTATTTTTTGTGAATGATTCTGGAAAGTTCCGTCTTAAGATATTTTACATCGTTTTTCTTATTATATACTTATTTTGTTGTAGCTTGATATGATGTTTCAGTTTTCATTCTTGGAAAAGGTATAGAATGATGATACATGTGCCCGTAGCCAAGGACGTTGAAAAAAAGGTGGACATAGTCTCTTGAAACAACGACTGTGCCACCTGGCTACTATAGACTTACACGCAGGATACACACACATTGACACGACGGACATCTGCTATTTTCATAAGTTTGATAAGGTGGTAACCCATTACACACGCACACATAAAAAAGCCAATGAGATTTTGGTACTTCAATCATTCCTAAGTGACATTATGTCCGATTTTTTCTCAACGTCTTTGCCTTGTAACCAGAATAATAAATATTAAAAATAATACTAAGAAACCATTATGACTTATTATAACTGCTATTAATTTATATGAATAGTGTTATTAGAACAGTTCACACATGTAAGAATATTATTATAAAACTTTGATTTAGCTAAATTTATATTATTTTGGGAAAATTCTTCCATTAATGCAGAAAATATTATTATGTTTTACCCATGTAACTGTTTGACGAGGAACTCGACTAGTTTCAAGCCATACTAGAGGCCCATATTCATGTGCAACATTTTGCGACATACGACCGCGACGTAAGTAAGTCGAAAACATAATAATTAATTTAGTATGTCTTGAAAGTTATAATACACAAATTCTTCCCTAGTGCTTCCCTACATTCCTTTGCTGATTTAATTGTAGGTTGTCCTTGTTTATTATTGCCATTTATAAGATTTAGCACAAAGATTTTACAAAAAATTCAGGTAACAAATATTTTTCTTCTCTTTCCATTTATTGTAAAGCAAATAAATATTTAATATTTCACAACAATTCACAAGTCCAGTGTTTCCCGTGGAATGTATAATATTTTCGAGTATTCTTTGTTAGTACTATTGAAAATATGATATTTGAAAAAATATGACAAAGCTAGGAACGAAAGCCGGAACTATTTCTTTGTGTTATGATTCAGATATATTATGGTTGTATGTTGAGTCACTATTTTTATTTTTTATAACATGTATGTAAATTTTAGGATCAATCGTGACAAACAAAGTTTTGTTATTAAATCTAATTGACATTTACTGCCAGCTGAAAATATTGATAAGTGTAAACTGTACTGTACCTTATTTTTTTATAAAATTATTCATCATCTTCATCAAGCTCTGGAAAGGCTCTCAAGGAAAAAACATACATCATAATTACAAAATTGATCATATTTTACAAAATGAGAGCACTTTGAATTACAGGCTCATGATATATGTACGAGGAAGTTATCAAAATATTGTGATTTATTGCTTTAAGTGCAATTTTGTAATGGAGGCTAGCTACCTTTCCTTTATGAAAATATAACAGGTATCTACGCCTGAAGGTATCTTGTTAAACGGAATTATTTGAAATACATATTTTACAATGACTTGTAAAACAAATGTACGTGGTTATTTGATATGACATTTAAAATATTGATTTTGAACTTTGACCTTCTTAAATTTTATACTATTCGGTGTATCATTAAAGTTTCTAGTCAATCCTTTCGATTACATAATACACGGAAGAGTATACATATCATTTACAAGAAAAGGTACAGTTAGCACAAGCATTTTAGTAAACGGGCAAAAGCAAAATAAAGACCAATTCATGTCATTGACTTAGTTTAAAATATACGATTTACAATAATAATTGTAACTATCTCTATACTGAGTCAATCTTCATCCTTTTATCTGCGTACTAAATTCTTATGCGGACTATACATAGACAGTGTTAACTGCAGAAAATTATAAGACCCCTTTTGCTGATGCTGTCTAACCACCAATACACTATTCTAAAGACTGCTTTGTGACGTCACGCTCTACCATAATTACGTCACACGTAAATAACATCGTTACGAAGAAAAATACATTTCCGAGTGAAGGTATCATCATATAGGTGATGGGTGACGTCACATTTCCGGTTTCCTGCTCATATTTCGCATTTTCGTTTTATTTCCACGAAAAGTCAGTTACTCATACTTATTTAAATGAACAAAAATACTTGTGAACATTAAGGTAAATTAAATATAACATTACCATTTATCATTTAAATAATGTTATGTTATTACTTGTATAAATATATTTAAGTATGTAATTGATTTAATTGGTAATATTGTTATTACAATATTTGACGGAACATATCCCTTAGAACTCATTATAGACAAATTATGTACTAAATGATGTAAGTAATTTTAGACAAATGTACCTATTCGTAAATATCAGAATATTAAATTAAAAGTATTAATAAATATAGACTGAGTTCAAAGAAATAGGCTTGTATATATTGAAGAAAAATTGTAATAAGTAGGTTATGTGTAAGTTATTTATGCTTAAATTTAAATGGGGAATCTGTTAACGGCAGTCAATTACTCGGGCATGACGTCAGGTAAACACGGGATCAGTTTGCTTCTATCGCTTTTGTACTAGAAAAGTAATTTGCCGATGTTATAGAACATATGAATGAGGCACCGAAATTGTTAAGGATGAAAGTAATGTGAGAAATATTGTAAGCATTCCCTCACCGTTCTGCCTTCATCTTCGAACTACATAATGTTGTAAATGTGCATGACAGTGTAAATATATTCCTAAAAATGTACTCAAAAACTCTGTTAGCCCTAGTGTCAAAATACTGTTGTAACGCGGACCACTGTCGCTTTCCGTAAAAAATAAATGAATATAAATTTAAATGAGTTTTATTTACAATACAAATACATTTTTTTTGCACCCTGTATTTTCTGTATACCATACTATAGGGGTTTCACTCCATTCACAATCTGTTTGAGTACTAAGAATTTCACAACTGGAAAACATAATGTTTTGTCCTTTCTAGTTACTGAATAGCCTGAAATTTCATTCAATTGCCGGAATTTTATTGTGCACTACTACAAGTCCAAACCAGTTGTCTTTTAATATGTACTGCTGCATGAATTTAAGTTTATTTCCAAGTATTTTCCAACTACATATCCTGGGACACTCAACCAACCTATATTAGATTCAGCTGCAAGGTGGAAGTATTGGACAAGATGTAAAATAACACGTTTTTATTCAAATAAAGATCATGTAGTTCTAAAAGTTCAAGTGATTTTACAAACTCTTTGACTAAACGGAAATAACTCCACTTTAAATGCTTAAATAGGATTTTTTGTTGTATCGTAGGTGCATTTACAGACATACAATTTCACATACACATGACACCAAGACCCAAACCAACAATAATATATGGACAACATAGAGTTGCATCGTGCGGGAATGAAACACACTACAGGTTACGTGGCAGCCGGTTGCCTAGCCACTGCGCCAACCGTACAGTCAAAAAACTACTACCATCACGAAAAAGACTATAGGCACGATATTGTTCCCATTAAATAAATAATCGTCTGTATAACAGCTTTTGGCTCTCATTTAACCACTATGTTTGTTATTATGAAGATCTTAGGTTTCAGAGTATAACATTAAACTATTTTTGGATATATCAATTTCCCAGTTAATAGAAGAACCTCGCCCCCAAATTCATAGGAATAATAACAGAAGTAATGAACAGTGAGGGTATTTCTACACCTCTGCCCACATTTCAAGGAAAAGTCAGTGTGATAAAAGGTTCAGGTTTATCAATAAGTGATACTGCCCGGTCTCTACTAAACGTAGTCCTTCAATTGACATAACATCACGCCTTTTATCCCCGAAGGGGTAAGCAGAGGTGCACATTACGGCACTTAAAGCCACTGTACAATGTAACACCCACTTTTCTTTATTTATGTCATGAGTCCCATGTAATAGGGGGTGAGCCTATTGCTATATATTTTTATTTTATTTTATTTTATTAACGCTTCATGCACAAGGTGTACACAAGGTGGACTTAATGCCGCAGGCATTTTCTCCCAGTCTGACCTTTGGGTGATGCAGAGAAGAGTGAATGGTAGGAGCAAGAAGCAAGCAACGATTTAATTGAGAAAATAGAAGATTACACTAACATATTACAAATATGAACATAAATAAATATAGTAATAATATATATATATATACCTACACACCTATATATACCTATATACCGGGCACAATTCCAGACTCCGTGCTATTACTGAGAATTTTTTCAAAACCCATAATACAAAATTTTCCCGACCCGGCAATCGAACTCGAGACCCCTAGCCCGGCAGTCGCCCTTGCGACCACTCGGCCAACGAGGCAGTCAGGCCTTCAGTTGACTGTTATAACAACCGCAGAAAAATACATACACATATAACCTCACGCCTGTCTCCTGAGACTATGGAACGCTAATTGCTACGATTCTTACATACAGCAAACATCAGTCATCAGTCTTTTCATGCATGCTCGTCGGTTACTTTTAATTTGGCCTGTTTTTAATATATCGCCAATCTGGAAAGATTAGAGAACCTATTTATTGACTAAATTTGCTGGTGTCTGAACAAAATCTCAAAACGACAGATAAGTTATCATTTGACGAGTAACCAATTAGGAACGTGTTTTGTTAGTATCTAGGTCTGATATTAACACAATATTACGTAGGCATCTTGTGTTGACTTTAATACAAGTAGTGCCTGAAGGAAAATAATTAATTTTGTGCGTATATCCAATTACAGATTTCAAAGCGTTTACAAAGCGTGTATTAGAATTGATTTGTCTTAAACAGTCGTCTGTTGTCACGTGAAGATAATTTACGGATTTAACAAAGGAATTATCAACATCCTGTACATGTTATAATAGGGTTGAGACTTCATTTTGCTCATTATCGGTAAGTAAAAATGAAGAATTAAATAAAATAACATATTTATGATCACCGGTAAAATCATGCTTTCCGAAAGGGGATAGACAGA